ACTAGGTAGGAAAACAACCACAAGATAGGGAAAAAACACATAGGTATGGAAAACAACAACCAATAGTTTGGGAACACAACACACAAGGTAGGAAACAACCACAAAGGATAAAAACACAAAAAACACTGGGGATAGGAACACAAACACAAAGGATAGGAACACAAACCCCCAAAAAGGGATATGGAACAAACAAATAGGAATGGAACAAACACACAAAGGAAACACAACACAACAGATAGGACACAACAAACACTGGTTGGGAAAAACCACACAATGGATATGGAACACACACACATAGATAGGGAACACAACACACATAGGATAGGGAAAACACAAAACACTAGGATATGGAACAAAACCACACAATAGATATTGAACAAAACCCACACAATGATAGGAACAAAACCAAAAACCCTAGGTATGGAAACCCCCCACAAAAGGTTTTGGCCCCCAAAAACACTAAAAAGGAAAATGGAACACAACACCAAAAATTGGGATTGGAACAACAACCCAACGGGATAGGGAAACACACACACAATGGGGAAGGGGGAACAAAACACAAATAGGATATGGAAACACAACACACCAATAGGAAAACAACAACAAAACAATAGGAAAATGGCACCCAACACACAATAGGTTGGGGAACACAACAAACAATAGGATATGGAACAAAACCCCACAATGGGATAGGGGAACAAAAACACACACTAGGAAAAGGGAAACACAACACCAATGGGATTGGAACCAACCCCCCAATGGGATATTGGAACACAACACAACACAAAGGATAGGGGAACCCAAACACAATGGTTTGGGAAAACACACACACACTAAAGGGAAAAACACAACACACACTAGGATAGGGAAACACAACCACCTATGAAAATGGAACCAACACCCCACTTTGATTTTGGAACCCAAAAACACAATAGGTTTTAGGGAAAAAACACCCCTTATAAATTTTGGGAACACAACAACACCAAACCTAGGAAAAGGGGGAACAAAAACCCACACTAGGGAATATGGAACAAAACACACACTATGTTAGGGGGGGAAACCCCAACACCACTATGATATGGAACCCAACACAAACCTATGATATGGAAAAACCCCAAACACAATAGGATAGGGCCCAACAACCCCCCTATGATATGGAACAAACACACACTAGGAGGGGGAAAACACAACAAAACACGGGTAGGGCCCCACAACACACACTAGGATATGGAACACAACACACAATAGGATATGGAACACAACACACACTAGATATGGAACACAACACACAATAGGATATGGAACACAACACACACTAGATATGGAACACAACACACAATAGGATTATGGAACAAACACACAATAGGATATGAACACACACACACTAGGATATGGAACACAACACACACTAGGATATGGAACACAACACACAATAGGATATGGAACACAACACACAATAGGATATGGAACAACCAGCCGTGACCGGGAGTCCCATAGGGCGGCGCACAATTGGCCCAGTGTCGTCCGGGTTAGGGGAGGGTTTGGCCTAGGGGGTCTTTACTTCGCTAATCGCGCTCTAGCAACTCCTTGTGGCGCCTGCAGGCTGACGTTGGTCGTCAGTTGAACAGTGTTTCCTCCGGCACATTGGTGCGGCTGCTTCCCGGGTTAAGCAGGCAGGTGTTAAGGAGCGCGGTTGCCGTCTGAACTACAATGGGTTCATCACCCAGCTTGTTGCCGTCTGAACTACAGTGGGCTCATCACCCAGCTTGTTGCCTTCTGAACTACAATGGGCTCATCACCCAGCTTGTTGCCGTCTGAACTACAGTGGGCTCATCACCCAGCTTGTTGCCGTCTGAACTACAATGGGTTCATCACCCAGCTTGTTGCCGTCTGAACTACAAGGGGCTCATCACCCAGCTTGTTGCCATCTGAACTACAGTGGGCTCATCACCCAGCTTGTTGCCGTCTGAACTACAATGGGCTCATCACCCAGCTTGTTGCCGTCTGAACTACAATGGGCTCATCACCCAGCTTGTTGCCGTCTGAACTACAGTGGGCTCATCACCCAGCTTGTTGTCGTCTGATCTACAATGGGCTCATCACCCAGCTTGTTGCCGTCAGAACTACAATGGGCTCATCACCCAGCTTGTTGCCGTCTGAACTACAATGGGCTCATCACCCAGCTTGTTGCTGCCAGAACTACAATGGGCTCATCACCCAGCTTGTTGCTGTCTGAAATACAATGGGCTCATCACCCAGCTTGTTGCTGTCTGATATACAATGGGCTCATCACCCAGCTTGTTGCTGTCTGAAATACAATGGGCTCATCACCCAGCCTGTTGCTGTCTGAACTACAATGGGCTCATCACCCAGCTTGTTACTGTCTGAACTACAATGGGCTCATCACCCAGCTTGTTGCTGTCAGAACTACAATGGGCTCATCACCCAGCTTGTTACTGTCAGAACTACAATGGGCTCATCACCCAGCTTGTTACTGTCAGAACTACAATGGGCTCATCACCCAGCTTGTTACTGTCAGAACTACAATGGGCTCATCACCCAGCTTGTTGCTGTCAGAACTACAATGGGCTCATCATCCAGCTTGTTACTGTCAGAACTACAATGGCTCATCATCCAGCTTGTTTACTGTCAGAACTACAATGGGCTCATCACCCATCTTGTTACTGTCTGAACTACAATGGGCCACACCCAGCTGTTACTTCAAACTACAAGGGGCAAAAATCACCCACTT